TTTTAGAGTTTTTTTTTTCTGTTTTCTAATTCTGTGATGAGCAGTTTAATGGAAATAGCATTAAATCTATAGATTACTTTGAGCAGTTTGTACTCGGGAAATGTCACTTCTAGGCATGGAGTTTCAGAGGCTATGCGTTTGTGTGTTTTTGATCGAAGGCAAGAGTACTTCTAAGGAAGGATACTTCATGGTATGGCCAGCTATGTTTCCACTAGTATTTAAGTGTCATGTTTGTGATTGGATGTGAGCTCTGACTCTGTAGTGACCAAATACAGTGGCAGCGGCTGAGGATTAAACCTGAATTTTAGGTGAGTTGAAATTTCACATCCGATCCATTCAGTGCCTTGCAAGGAGTGCACTGTTGGTCTGCAGCTGGATAGAGCCAATTTATGCTTTACCTGTGGCACTTTAAAGAGCAAAATGTCTAAATCCCTTCACATTCTTGGAAGAAGCAAATTCACCATCATTGCTGAACATTTCTAGCAGCTGCTTGCCCAAGTATTCAAAGTAGAATGAAACCCTTGAGATAGTGATGACCCAATCAGAATGCGAATACTGCTTATAAGACAACCATCATATCTTGCAGAGCAGGAGTTCCTGATGGGAACTGATTGTAGAAATTGAATTAGGAGGACCCTGGATAAATAGTGCTCTGTGCTTGAGCTACAATTCTTTAAGCAAAGCACAGTGTGGCATCCCACTCAGTCTCTGCATTGTCTTCATACAGTGTAATGGATCATAGCATTTATCGGCCTCTGAAGCTCCATGCCGTGACATTTCTCTGGATTCAGAGCCTTTAAGCCGCGGAGTGCTCGATGCAAGTGGGTGGTGATTTGTGAGACCTCTGGGCTATTTGGAGTTTTTGACTGTGGAGCAAATGTTACGTGGTGCAGGATGAGAGAAATGATGGTCATAGGGCTTAATCTCAGAGAAAGTCTGTCTCAACGGTGAGCTGTATAAACTCTTTGGTGTTGGGCAAAGTTCAATATTTTATTTTTGAGAGAGAGTCGTGGAACTCTTGAAAATTTGATAAAAGCTTTTGGACTCTTGCAGTAGAAAAATGCATTTACATAATTTTTCGTGTAGTCCCTCATAAACCCTTAAGTCATGGGCTCCCAGACTAGTAATTTGCTAACATCGAACATGAATAATGCATATTGGAGGAGGGGCATCACATGCCTAAGAGGCTTGTTGAATAATGCAGTTTCATGCCCCATAACTTACAGCTTTTCTGAGCATACATTCACTGATACTGGAGAGTGCCATAAGGCTGTGTATTCATGGTCAAAAGCAAGTCAAGTTTGTGCTCGAGGCGAAAGGCCTGAGAATTTTCTCATCTGTGGCATAGCCACATGGGTGATGAATCACAGTGTTTTTCTATTTTATTACAAACATTGCCATGTAGCTTCTTTTTCTGTCACTGCATAGAAACCAGTCTTGTCAGATTTATCCACATCCTCAATATTTCAAACCTGACGATTTATTCTTCCTCTTCCATGGCTTAGCATCTGACATAGTTCCTTCCTTGAAAGTCTTCTCATTCTTGGCTTCCTGTAGGGTTTCCCGCTGCTTCTCTGCCCTCTTCTCCTCAGTCGTCTTTGTAGGCTCCTCCTAAACTGCCTGCATCATAAAGGTTGGGGTGTCCCAGCCCTTTGACCTGAGATATTACTTCATCTCTATCTTTATTTATTCTTTAAATGGTTCCATTGCTGTGAAAATCTCCCTGGATGCTAGTAATTGCAGCCGGACGACTAAGCCCGAATTTTAACTCATATGTCCAGCCACTTACTTGAAAACACCACTTGAGTGAATAAGCATCTCAAAATTGATTTGTCCAAATGAAGTTCATGAGTGCCATTTTTGTGAGGTGCCATTTGGGGTTCAAGGAGAGAGGTGACAAGCTACCATCTAAACATTTACAGAACACCCTTGATATATTTTCCTGACTTTGACCATCCGATTTATCTGAAAATGCAGTCAGAGCTTCATCTCCAATATAGATCACCTTTGCATTGGCTTTCTCTGTTTTTGTTTTTGTAGACCACATTGCCTTTTGCTTTTTTATCTGGTGTAGGAGCATTAGCTTCCTCAAGGGTCTCTCTGCTTCCTCTTTCACCCGTTCGTGTCATTCTTCCACTGGCAACTACAGTGACTTTTCAGGCTTTCATTTCCACCTAAACCCTATCGGAGATTCTGACTTCAGAATGAATAGGCTCTTTACCATCTTTGGCCTTCATTGGCTCCCTGTCTCTCTACCTGGCCCTTCATTGGCTCCCTGTCTCCTACCCTCAGCTTCCACGCTATGTTGTAGCCAGGCTCAGTGGTTTTCTTTCTGTTTTCTAAATATGTGAGGCTCTTTCCTTCTTTGGAACTAGAGGAGGATTATAGAGAAAATATGACACAAATTAATTTTTACATGTAAAAATTATCTGACTCAGATTACAAGCTCCTTGAGAGCAGAGACCCAATTTAATGCATTTTGTCTCCAACATTCCTGCCTTTGTCTCCAGCCTCCTCCTCTGCTGTGTCTGGGACAGCAACTTGTACTAATTCATTTGACACTATCTTCTCTTCTCCTTTACTCCCCTCCCCTCCCCTCCTCTCCTCTCTTTCCCTTCTCCCTCCCCCTCCTTGCCCTCTCCTTTCCTCCCCTCCTCTTCTGTTTCCTTTATCTTTTCTCTGTTGCCCAGGCTGGAGTTCAGTGGCATAATCTCAGTTCACTGCAGCCTCCACCTCCTGGGTTCAAGCGATACTCCTGCTTCAGCCTCCTGAGTAGCTGGAATTACAGGTGCACGTCACCATGCCTGGCTAATTTTTGTATTTTTAGTAGAGACAAGGCTTCACCATGTTGGCTAGGTTGGTCTTGTACCAACTTAGTGATCCGCCTGCCTCGGCCTCCCAAAGTGCTAGGATTACAGGCATGAACCACTGCATCTGGCCTGACATTTTGTTTCCTGAGCTTTCTATGTATCAGGTTATGATTAAGTGCTCACAGTTTAATAGATGTTAGATTTTGAGGTTGCTTCTCTCTTAGTTTAGAATACAAGCCATCACCGGATGAGGATGGGAGTAAGGAGACACCTGTGGCGAAAAATGAGAGGTGTGTCTGTGCAGATTTCAACTTGGGTAGAACTTCATTGTTCTAATGAATTTTGAAAACTATTATGGGCTAACATTATTGCTTTGGATTAGTAATTGACTAAATAGTGCCTTCCTTGCTTGTGAGAGTAAATGTAATTTCCCAAAGTGATCAATTCAGTCCTAGTCTGTAGCTGAGAGAATCAAACCTAATGGAAACTAATGATATTCCTAATAGAGTAGACAGCAAGCAAGGTAAACCCCTACTAATCTTCCTCTCCCCGATAAACATCATCTACTAAGAGTTTTGTCTGAAATGCAGTAGAACAGTAAATCAAAGCACATTAAAGAGAGAAATACTACCCTTTTAGCAATAGACTACTTTCAGATTTAAACACAACTACTGCAAAGTGTTAGGTGTGAGGTTACGTCTGTTCAGGTGTTAAACTTAGATGTGGAGAATATACTGTTTATCCTTGCTTCAAGGCTTTGTCTCAAAAAAAAAAAAAAAAAAAGCACCATTTAAAGCAAGTCTTGCTAGGTCATCACCGAAAGCTTCTTTGCTAACGCAAGTGGAATTAGGTACCAGATATAAACATTGCATAGAAGCTTGGCTGTCAGAGTTGAGTAAGCAAGCTTAAACATTTCCTGTAAATTTTAAGTGACAAATTATAAAAGAGCAGAGCAACTTGGCATCTTAGGTGGAGTGAAGATATTGTATTCTGATTAAAAACCGTAAGGGGCTTACAGAAATGAGTGGCATGGTGTTAGTTATTTTGAAAAGTATATGTTTTCGTTTTCTGCTAAAAAATGTAATCAGAGGAGAAAAATATTCAACAAACATGAGTTTTTTGATTTTGTTTTTCCTGTTAGAAGAGTGAAGACTGTATACCCAGGACCTTTTCCCCCCCCTACAATTTTTTAATTGTGGTAAAAATATATATAACATAAAATTTATTATCTTAGCCATTTTAAGTTTCCCATTCAGTGGCAATAAATACATGTATAATGTTGCACAGCCATCACCATCATCTATCTCCATATCTCTCTTCATTTTCTAAAACTGAAACTCTGCACCCGTTAAACAATAACTTTCCATTCCCTTCTCCCCCAGTCCCTGGTAACCACCATTCTACTTTCTGTCTCTGATTTTGACTAATGTTTTAAGTATCTAATATAAATGGAATCATAAAACATTTGTTTTTGTGATTGGTTTATTTTACTCAGCATAATGTCTTCAAGTTTCATCCATATTGTAGATGTGACGGGATTTTCTTTCTTTTTAGGACTGATGATCCATCGTCTGTGAAGACCACGTTTTGCTTATCCATTCGTCTGTCAATGGACACTTGGATTGCTTCCACATTTTGGATATTGGGAGTAATACAGCTGTAAACGCGGGTGTACAAATAATCTCTTGAAGACCCTGTTTTCAGTTCTTTTGAGTATATACTGAGAAGTGCAGTTGCTGGGTCACATGGTAATTCTATTTTTAGTTTATTCGAGAAACAACATACTGTTTTCTACAATGGCTGTACCATTTTACATTCCCACTAACCATGCAAAAGGGTTCCAATTTCTCCACATCCTTGCCAACACTTGTTATTTTCTATTTTTATTTTATTTTATAGATGTCATCCTAATGGGTATGGAGTGGTATCTCATTGCAGTTTTGATTCACGTTTCCCTAATGACTAGTAATAATGAATATCTTCTCATACTTATTGGCCATTTTCTGTCTTCTTTGAAGAAATATTCCTTTTAAGTCCTTTGCTTATTTTTGAATTAAATTGTTGTTTGTTGTTGAGTTTTAGAAGTTCTTTATATATTCTGGATATTAATCACTTTATTTGCGAGTATTTTCTCCCATTCTGTGGGCTGCATTTTTACTTTGTTGATAATGTATTTAGATGCACAAAATTTGTAATTTTCATGAAGTCTAGTTTGTCTGTTTTTAAAATTTTGTTGCCTGTGTTTTTGGTGTTATATTCGAGAAATCATTGCCAAATGCAACGTTGTGAAGTTTTTATCTTATCTTTTCTTCTAAGAGTTTCATACTTTTAGGTTTTACATTTAAGTCTTTGATCCATTTTAACTTTGTATATGGTATTAGATAAGGATCCAATTTTCTTCTTTGTAATGTTGATGTTTAGTTTTCCCAATGCCATGTGTTTAAAAATGACATTTTCCCTATTATATGGTCTTAGCACTCTTGTTGAAAATCATTTTACCATATATGTAAGTATATATTTTGGGCTTTGTGTTCTGTTTCATTTGTCTATATGTCTGTCTTTATGCCAGTGTCACACAGTATTGATTATTATAACTGTAGGAGGTTTTGAAATAAGGAAGTGTGAATCTTCCAGCTTTGTTTTTTGGTGGTTTTGTTTTGTTTTTTGTTTTTTGTTTTTTTTCAAGATTGTTGTAGTTATTTGGGGTTCCTTGAAATTCCTTATGAATTTTAGAATAGATACTTCTATTTCTGCAAAAACTCATTGTGATTTTTATGGGAATTGCATAAATCTGTAGATTGCTTTGGATAGTATTGACATCTTAACGATATTGTCTTCCAAGCCATGAATGTGGATTGTGTCTCCATTTACTCATGTCTTCTTTATAGTGTTCATTATACAAGTCTTTCATCTTCTTGGTCAAATTAATTCCTAAATATTTTATTTTATTTTTGGGAAACCCTGTGATGAGGGGTGAACCAGGACTAGAGATCAGATTCCCAACTATTCGTTCCCACACCTTGACTGTTGCTTAGCTCAGTTGATTCACTAGATTCCAGTCACTAGCCACAAGTTTCTGTCAGATGGGTCAATTTTAAATTACAGGCAAAAAGCAGAAAAGAAAATGGGATAACTACTTTGTAGCAAGCGGGATTTTATTCATAGTTAGATTTATCTTTTCTTTGTATTTGCTTCTGTCTGTGAATTCTGTTTCAGTGGAAAGGAGGTGTATTAAGTTTTGACCTAGTGTCAGTATCTGAGTAATTGACCTAATGAGATTTGGATTTGGCTGGGAGATTAGCTGCTGCACTAAATATGATGAACAAATAAAGGCAACTTTTCTCCTCCTGAAATTTCTAAAAACAATTTCCTCGCTCAATTTTTTTTTTTTTTTTTTTTTTTTGGTTTTCATGTTTCATTCACCATGTGAAAGGCTGTGACTCCAGTGTTATGAGGAACCCCTTGTCCGAAGCAGTTGTTGCTCATGGAACAGGCAGATCTCTATACAGGAGCACTCATTTCTAGAGAGCAGCCTTGTCATTGCTGTGAAGGAAAATCCTAATGCTCAAACCAGGAGCTACTTAGGCTTTCCCAGAATGGCCCTTTCTTAGATTTTGTAATTAAATTGAAGAGGTAGATACTCTGTCCTTAAACTAGGAAATCACATCCTCTGAATTCTGTCTAACTTAATTGAGTCCTGCTGTGTTACTAATCCACGTTAATATGGTCTTTTTCCTTTAACATAGTTTCCCTGGATGCTGAACATGGAGCCTTACGGTTTCTAGAATGGCTTGGCAGAATTTCTCTTTGGGAATTGGTGAAGATGGGTGAAGTATAGATCCAGGAAGGGGAAGGGTCCCCACAAAAAAAAAAAGTGCCCTCATAGAAGACTGTGCACTTCGTGTCCTCATATACAATGGGCAACGCACACAGGCCCCTGCTATTCTTTTATGAGGGACAGGTTAGGAGGGTCTCTGCAGGTGGTGCTTGCTCACTGGCCACCAGCCTCTCCCCTGCTCTCTCTGCCTCCCTTATCATCCACACTCACCTTCATGGTGCAGGACACGTTGACTTTGTTCTTTGACCTCATTTCATTCTGAATTTTTAAAGCTTAATGTAGCTGGCTTTATCCCTTCAATTTGAAAAATTATTTTAGAAATTGAAATAATTATTGCCACATTTTTCTTAGATGTTTAAGAATGTGGTTACCTGCTTTATTTGTAGACATTGTATAGAGATAAATGCTGGGGATGAGGGTGTTTGTTTCTAACCTTAATGTGTTTGTCTGATCTCTGAGTTCTAGGGGTTGTGGAAAAGGAAAGTGGTATAAAGTAAAGGACACAGTGACAGAAGAATTCGACCTAAATAATGAGATTCCGGAGTGTGAATGCTTTGGTGAAGAATATAAACCAAAATTTTATGATCAAGGTAAGGATATACAAATGGATAGCTTACATTAGTTTTGGTTTTTAATTTAATTTTCTACAAAATTGGAAGTAGGATTCTTTAAATTAAAAATAGAATAGACTTTTTCTGGTACTGCTGCTCTAGCTGTAGAACCGTGAGTAGGTGGGGGAGGGGAGGTGTACGGTAAAGTAATGAAATGAGTATCCAAGAGACACTAATAAATAAAGAAATCTAACTTTAAAACTAGTTTCAGAAGTGGTTGTCCACTAAAATCTTCAAATGTCTGTTTCACTTACATAGGAGCATAATTAATTAGAGAATGTATTTTTTAGCACCTGTACTTTTAATACCATATTCATTAGTGTGGCAAAGCAGTCTTTACCTCCAATCTCCCCACTCCCAGGGCAAAAAAATATATATATCAGGAAAAGTACATCAAAAACCCAATCACAGTTAGCTATTTGAAAGCCATTTTGCAGAGATCTTAGCATTTCTTAGCAAATAATTTTGAGATATTCTAGGGGCATTTAGAAATTTCTTCCTGTATTAGATTCACTATATTAGAGTTCTATATTATATTATGCCACTGTAATCATGCATTCAGTGCTAATTTTTAAGGGTTAAATAAAGTATTATTGCCAGAATTCACCCTAATATCAACCTCCAAAGGAGGGATTGATTTTATCACCAGAACTGAGGTCCCCTAACTTCCACTCTAAGCAGTAAACTATAAAAAAACCCTCCTCGTTTTACTTACACTTTGCATTTAACACATTTAGTGAGTAGTTACTTGCTGGATTCTCGGGCCCTTTGTTTTAGATTGTCAAGACAAGAAAATCTTTTTTATTTAGACTTCTTAGTGCTGTGCTGTAAAGCAAACACATATACTTGTGTATGTCAATGATATAATCCCGCATGCTCTTCCACCAGGAAGGTCTGATGAGAACGCCGGGGGTCACCAAAGAAGACTCGAGTTAGCTGTGTACAGCAGGAAGCTGAGGACTTCTCACTGTAAGTTGCTTTTCAATTGTGAATACAGAATATCGGAGACAGGTCTCAATGAATTTGGAAAGTTTAGTTTGCCAGGGTTATGGACGTGACACAGCCTATGGAGGTCCTGAGGACATGTGCCCAAGATGATTGGGGTACGCTTTGATACATTGTTGGGAGTTGTGAGACATCAATCAATATGTGTAAGATGTACATTGGTTTTGTCCAGAAAGGTGGGACAACTCGAAGCATGGGCGGAGGCTTCCGGGTCATAAGTAGACAAGACAAATGGTTGCATTCTTTCGAGTCTCTGATTAGCCTTTTTCTGATTACACAATTTACATGTGAGAGGACGGTAAAAGAATCTTCACGTATGCCTTAGTCTAGCTTAGTGAAGTGATACAGCAGAAGAAGCAGTAAGATGTGCGTTTGTGTCAGGTGAGCAGAGAGATGGCATTGTGCTCTGTTCATCCTTTGCCCACAAGGAAATTCCCTCAGGGCAAATGGTGAGGGAGTTACGGAGCTTCCTTGTCTTTGTAGCATCTTATTTAGTAATATATTGGGAGCAAGTTTGCTGGATGCAGTTCCCAGCTGTCTTCCTTTTGGATTAGTGAAGATTTATTTTATTGCATACCAAAAACTTGCTGTGTGATTTAGTAGGTGTTAGTGTGATATTTGAGAATGTAGTCTTTGGGATTTGAAGATAATTAGCTAAACTAGAGAGAAATTCCTAAACTAATTCTAAAAGGAAAATAAATAAATCCCTTTTCTTTATTATTGCTTCCTGGTCATTATTTCCTTGGCAATAACTTACTTTGTATTTAGAAACATGCACATAAGTTAGTGCCTTCTAGAATTGAGATTTTAAAAAAGTGTACACTTGAGGTTCTTTTAAACATGTTGGCGTCATTTATTGAATTCCACTTCATGTCCAAAACACAGCACTGTGCCGACACTCTCAGAATATTGTCGCTCTTTAAAGACCCTGCTGTCAGTGAATTTGCCTTTTAATATATTGTATCAGGAAAGTATCTGATTTACTTTTTCATGTAAAACTGTGTTTAAGTATGGGTTATTATGTTTGAAAACTTTGTTCAATAATTATTATGAGACTTTGCATGTGTGGCTCTAAAATGAGTTTCACTGCTCTTGAATGGTCGTAATGGCTGGAAAAGAAACCTCACAATAACATGCAGGAAGAATTGATTTTCCTGCTTCCTAAGTTATGGTACTCAGTTTTAAATCCCACATGCCAGTTAAGTTAAAATTTGTCCTGCAAAAATCACCCACAAATTTTTAATTTTTATAATGTTACTCGAGTTCTCAAAGTAATCGAAATATATTTTTATTTATTTAATTAAAACATTATTATTCATATACTGGATGAGGTGCAGTTTGATGTTTTGACACAAAGTAACACATTGTATCATGAATTATTCTGTATACTGGATGAGGTGCAGTTTGATGTTTTGACACAAGTAACACATTGTATCATGATCAAACAATTTAAGTCTCATATCCTGTTCATGTGAGTTTGGCAAGTTTTAAAACTACTAAAACAATAGCCAGTTTCTGTTAGACAAAGTTTTCTGATCCTATCTAGTCAGCTCCATCTTCAGCAATTTTTGTGTCAGTCGTCTCCTTGGTCCCATGGGCCTGATAATGCCTGGATGTCTGTTCTAACCCAGCTGATTTTAAAAGGCAAGAAGAAATGACTATTTGGAGAAAATGCCTGTTGGAATATACTAGGTAAGAATCCTGTGAAAAATTCTAAAGGGGAGAATTCAGGTAGATGTCAGAGTGTATCTGGTAGATCTAGAGGTACTCCCGCTGGTCTTTTTCTGGATTCGTTGTAGGCTGCAGAGATAGGTGTAGAGCTAGTGCTAAGGACACAGATGCGAATCCACACCAAGATTGGCCAGCACCATCACTGAGCCGCTGTGTGATGTGAGATGACACCAATAAACAGAGGCATGGGGACTAGGCAGTAAGGAAGTACATTGGTGAAACTAACTTATCTGGTGAGAAGAACAATTGAACCCTCATAATCATTGGGTAAAGACTAACAGGGTGATGATAGACATTATTTATTGTATACCTCCTCTGAGCCACATGCTTTAAGCAAATCTTCAATTCTGAAAAGACTCGTGGAGTGGTGGGTTGTTATTTCCATTTTTCGGATGGAAAAACTGCAGTTCAGAAAAGAAGTGAACAGCCCGTGTCATAGAGCATGCATTTAAATTCAGAACTAAACAGCCCGTGTCAGTAGAGCATGCATTTAAATTCAGAACTAGATCCGCCACTGTACTCCAGCCTGACGACAGAGTGAGACTTGTCTCCCACTGTCGCCCAAGCTGGAGTGCAACGGTGTGATCTCGGCCACTGCAGCCTCTGCCTCCCAGGTAAGGCGATTCTCCTTGCCTCAGCCTCTGAATAGCTGGGATTACAGCTGCCCACACCACACCTAGCTAATTTTTTTGTATTTTTGGTAGAGACAGGATTTTTACCATGTTGACTGGGCTGGTCTCAATCAACATAGTCTGGTCTCAAACTCCCTACCTCAGGAGGATCTGCTCCACCTCGGCTTCCCAAAGTGTTGGGATTGCAGGCTTGAGCCACCGCGCCCAGCCCATTTCTTTCTTCAAAACTAATTACTCTCACAGGCATGGTGACTCACACCTGTAATCCTAGCACTTTAGGAGGCCAAGGAGGTCCGATCACCTAGAGGCCAGGAGTTTGAGACCAGCTACGACATGATGAAACCCCTGTATGTACTAATACAAAAATTAGCTGGGCCCACTCTGGTTGAAATCCACTTGGTTGAAAAGCTACCTAGAGGCTGAGAGACATGAGAATTGCTTGAACCCGGGAGGTGGAGGTGCTGCAGTGAGCTGAGATCTGCCACTGCACTGCAGCCCAAGCATAGAGTGAGACTGTCTCAAAAACACAAACAAAAAACCAGGCTGGGTGTAGTGGCTCACGCCTGTAATCCCAGCACTTTGGGAGGCCAACATGGGCCGATCACCTGTGGTCAGGAGTTCAAGATCAGCCTGGTCAATGTGGTGAAATCCTGTCTCTACTAAAAATACAAATATTAGCCAGGCATGGTGGTGCATACCTATGGTCCCAGCTGCTTTGGGAGGCTGAGGCAGGAGAATCACTTGACCTGGGAGGAGGAGATTGAAGTGAGAGCCGAGATCAAGCCACTGCACTCCAGGGCCCTGGGTGACTCGCCTAAAAAACAAACAAAGGCCGGGATGGTGGCTCTATGCCCATAATCCCAGCACTTTGGAAGGCTAAGGGTGGGCGGATCACCTGAGGTCAGGAGTTCGAAACCAGCCTGGCCAACATGGTGAAATCCCATCTCTACAAAAAAATCAGCTGGGCATGGTGGCAGGTGCCCGTAATCCCAGCTTTTTAGGAGGCTGAGGCAGGAGATCAAGAACCCAGGAGGTGGAGGTTGCAGTGAGCCACGGTTGCACTACAGCCTGGGCAACAGAGCAAGACTCTGTCTCAAAAAAACAAAACAAACAAAAAAAGACCCTAATAATTCACTTGGGAGCTAAGCCTAAGAGTTTGAGCTTGCAAACCATGAAACTATAACTAAGTCTCTGCACTCCAAGCAGCCTGGGGACAAGTGTGCAAGACCATTTCAAAAAACATGATCCACAAATTTAAGTTACAACCTTGGCTATGTCACTAGAATAATTCCTTGACATTGTAAGCCACAGACAAGCACATGTGGTTTAAAATAATTCATTTAGTCATGAGATTGATTAGATAATCATGCAGAAGGAACCTGGGTGGAGAGATATACCCTCTATCTGCCTAAATCAGGCAAAGGTCACATGAGTGTTAAAATTAATTACATCTGGGCCGGGCGCGGTGGCTCACGCCTGTAATCCCAGCACTTGGGAGGCCAAGGCGGGCGGATCACGAGGTCAGGAGATCGCAACATCCTGCCAACAGAGTGAAACTCCGCCTCTACTAAAAATACAAAAACTAGCCGGGCGCGGTGGTGGGCACCTGTAGCTTCAGCTATTCGGGAGTGGCTGAGCTAGGAGAATGGCGTGAACCCGGGAGGTGAGGCGGAGCTTGAGTGAGCTACAAGATCGCGCCACTGCACTCCAGCTCATACAGTGTGAGACTCACCAAAAAAAAAAAAAAATTAATTACATCTGAATGAAAATGGGCTTAAGTTTCCCATTGCCCCAGTGATATGGGGGAAAAGGGACAGGCACGCTGGCTCACGCCTGTAATCCCAGCACTTAGGGAGGCATACAGGAGAGGATCCCTTGAGTCAGGAGTTGGGGACCAGCCTGGACAACATGGCAAAAACCCAACTCTACAAAAAATACTAAAATTAGCTGGGCCTGGTGGCACGTGCTTGTAGTCCTAGCTACTCAGGAGGCTGAGATGGGAGGATCTCTTGAGCTCAGAAGGTCAAGGCTGCAGTGAGCTGTGATTGTGCCACTGCACTCTAGCATGGGTGACAAAGTGAGACTGTTTCAAGAAAGAAAAAGCCCAGGCAAGGTGGCTCATGCCTGTAATCCCAGCACTTTGGGAGGCTGAGGCAGGCAATTCACTTGCGGTCAGGAGTTCGAGACCAGCCTGGGCAACATGGTGAAATCCTATCTCTACCAAAAATATAAAAAATTAGCTGGGTGTGGTGGTGTGCTCCAGTAATCCCAGCTACTTGGGAGGCTGAGGCAGGAGAATTGCTTGAACCTGGGAGGCGGAGGTTGCAGCGAGCCTGATCGTGCCATTGCACTCCAACTTGGGTGACAGAGTGAGACTCCATCTCAAAAAAAAATATATATATATATATATACACACACATACACACACACATGCACACACACATATATACATACATATATATAGAGAGGGAGAGTGCTGAGAACGCGCCATTGTACTCCAGCCTGGGCAATAAGAGTGAAACTCTGTCTCAAAAAAAAAAAAAAAATGGAAATGATAAATGCTTGAGGTGCTGGATTACCCCAATTACTCTGATTTGATTATTACACATAATATGACTTTATCAAAACATCACATTTGAAGCCCCAATCTCTACAAAAAAAAAAAAAAAATTTTTTTTTTTGAGATGGAGTTTTGCTGTTGTTGGAGTGCAATGGCACGATCTCGGCTGACCACAACCTCCACCTCCTGGGTTCAAGCGATTTTCCTGCCTCAGCCTCCCAAATAGATGGGATTATAGGCATGCGCCACCACGCCTAGCTAATTTTGTATTTTTAGTAGAGACGGGGTTTCTCTATGTTGGTCAGGCTGGTCACAAACTCCCAATCTCAGGTGATCTGTCCATCTTGGCCTCCCAAAGTGCTGGGATTATAGGCGTGAGTCACCACACCCAGCCCCTAATTTTTTTTTTTAATTTAGCTGGGCATGGTGATGTGCACCTGTATTTCTAGCTACTTGGGAGGCTGAGCTGGGAGGATTGCTGGAGCCCAGGACTACAAGGTTACAGTAAGCTATGATGATGCCACTGCAATTCAGCCTGTGGGACAGCATGAGAGCCTGTCTCAATTAAAAAACCAAACAATTCTACTTGCTGTAGATTTTTGGGGACAAAAAACAAAACCAAACCACATGTATCTGATAAACATAGACATTTAAAATGTATCCTTAATAATTAAAAATCCACATTGGTAAAATGCATTCAGTTTTCAGTTTAGTTTTCTAAGTATATTCATTACCTTTTTGGCTCTATTTCAGGCTCTATTCCTCTGTCCTTTGAGAGCAAAATGATGAAAGGGGAATTCATTTACATAGAAAGTTCATGAACCAGAGTTAGTGAAGTTTTGTAAAGTGAATGAAAAGCATATTATGTTTGTGATATTTTCTTTTGTGTTAAGAGATAGGGTCTTGCTCTGTTGCCCAGGCTCGGGTGAAGTGGCACATGATTCTAGCTGACTGCAGTCTTGAACTCCTGGGCTCAAGCTATCCTCTCATCTCAGCCTCCTGAGTAGTTGGAACTACAGACATGCATCACCACGTCTGACTAATTTTTAAATTTTTTTTAGAGACAGGGTCTTGCTATATTGCCCAGGCCGGTCTCAAACTCCTGGACTCAAGCAATCCTCCTGCCTTGGCCTCCCAAAGTGCTGGGATTAGAGGTCATGAGTCGCCATGCCTGGGGATATTTCCTTTTAAACATAAAAAATACTCATTTCAGGAACCTGATTTCTCCAAACGGTGCTGATGATCTGCTAAGTTGCCATATTGCCTCTGAGCAGAAAACTATTTGAGGGATCTTAAATCATCAAGTGACTTAGAGCTTAAATCCTTTCTCTTTCCAAACAAGAAGTCTAGAGGTTAAGGTCAAATTCTGTCATGTCATGTTCCCAAACAAACGAGAAAAACCAAGTGTCACTTTCATGCTTTCATTTTGCACAAGAAGTCATAATACTGGAATTACCGGGGGGGCAGGAAGAGACAGCAGAGGTTAGCTTGCTTTTTTTCTGACATATTATGCTTCAATTTTCTGTGATGATTTTTTCTTTTTTTGAGATGGAGTCTTGATCTGTCACCCAGGCTAGAGTGCAATGGCATGGTCTCAGCTCACTACAATCTCCACCTCCCGGGTTCAAGTGATTCTCCTGCCTCAGCCTACCGAGTAGCTGGGATTGCAGGCACCTGCCACTATGCCTGGCTAGTTTTTTAATTTTTAGTAGAGACAGGGTTTCACCATGTTGGTTAGGCTGGTCTTGAACTCCTGACCTCAGGCAGTCCACTCCCGCCGGCCTCCCAAAGTGCTGGGATTAGAGGCATAAGCCACTCCGCCCGGCCTCCAGAGCGAGACTCCGTCTCAGAAATAAAATAAAATAAAAAGAGGATCTGAATTTTCAGGAAAAGGACTAAGAGAGTATTCTAACTACGAAATAACTGTTGTTAATAATCCTCTAAGATAAACCCTACACCGTCTGCAAAGTTAACCTGAGAGGCAAAACCACTTAACATCTATATTTTCTCTAAATAATTTTGTTTAGCAAGAAGTTAGCTCTTTTGAAGATTAAATATTTGCCAGGCGTTTTACAGACGTTATATCGTTTAATCTTCACTATAGCCCTACTGAGCCTTCATTCATCAATTTACTTAGGGTCCACTTGGGCAGACATGCCCTGCTACCCTCTAAAAATTCAGTAGTGAGCATTATCTACCTTCCTCAGGCTCAAGCAGCTTAGACTAGCTACTAAGTATGTCCTCTTTTAAATCAGGAAATGAAAAATCCGCTCTGAGGTTAATTTGCTTGTTCAAGGTCACACAGTGTTGAAGCACCTAGCTACACTAATCAAGGCGCCTCATTTCGAATCTTTTCTGCCCTCAATCATTAGACCGTTAAGATTAGACGGTAAGATATTTTGCTTTGAAGAGTTCTTTCCAATTTTTTTCCACCATCTAGGAGGAAACCTCTCACAGTACTGACCAAAGAACAGTGGCTAATTCATGCTCTAATTACCAGGCATCTGGAAGACTTCAGGGGAGAGGAGCCAGGTCCCAGGGGGAAGGGGGACTTTTTTTAGTGGGGGGTGTTTTTTTCCCCCCCAAATTCTTCAGTAATATTCAGGAAGGGGAACTTTTTTGAAGGAACGGTAGCAACCCTGACACAAGAGGTGATTAAATTCGGGGCACAAAGCTGATTCCATGCCAAGGGAAGCAGAGTTTATCTTCTCCACCTTTTCTTTGCTTTCCTCCACTATTTCCAAGGTTGTTTCAAAGATCGACAGTGCAGACCGCGCCATTGGCTCCAAATGACTAGGAAACCTATTTTTATTATCTCCCCCTCTCCCCCTACCCCTAAAGGTCTCTTCTGGCCTTCTGATACACTTTTCCACTTCGTCTCCACCCTTAGCGGATAATCTGAAGATCGCCGTTTTAGCCTATCGCCATAACGACTAGGTTGCCTTATGGCGACCTTGACAACCATCCGTGAGGCCGGAGCGGGGGCGGTCGGCTGTGCTGGGGGAATCTTCAGATGGCCTTGAAGAGGCGCCACGAGGGAGAGGCGACCGCGGAGCTCCACTCAGCGAAGAGTTCTCTGAAAGATTGACAGGTAGCCTACCAACTGTCTTTACCCTAGAGACCCGCTCTGTCTCGCGAGATTTAGGTGCTTACGCGAAGTGGGAGTGAAAGGCGCCTCTCTGAATGGGGGATGGGACTGTCTATGGCGCAATCATCGCGCGAGATTGGGCTACAGTCGCTGGAGCTATACTTAGATCTCGCGATACTTCGGCCTCTCCGATTTGCTGCTTGGGGCAGCTTCTCGCGAGAGCCCGTGCTGAGGGCTCTGTGAGGCGCCGTGTGTTTGTGTGTGTGTGTGCTGGTGAATGTGAGTACAGGGAAGCAGCGGCCGCCATTTCAGGGAGCTTGCCGTCACTGTCGCAGGGGTGGATCCTGAGCTGCCGAAGCCGCCGTCCTGCTCTCCCTCGTGGGCTTCTCTAATTCCATTGTTTTTTTAAGATTCGCTCGGGCCTAGCCGTCCTTGGAGCCCGATATTCGGGCTGGGCGGTTCCGCGGCCTGGGCCTAGGGGCTTAACAGTAGCAACAGAAGCGGCGGCGGCGGCGGCAGCAGCAGCAACGGAAGTCTCTTCCCGAAGACGAGCACCACAGGTGTCCGAAAGCCGGAGCAGGTACAGGGGCGTTGCGGACCCGCGTATTATCCCAGCTTTCTCGAGGTTTGGCTCCCTTTTGGGCTGAGGGGCGCTGTTGGCGGTCTTTAGCGACCGGGGTGAGGGGTGGTTTTCGAGAAATCGGCCCTGTTTCAGTGACCGCGCCCTTATTTTCCGGTCGGGTATAGTCTGGATTCTTGGGGTGGCAGGGACCTCTGAGAGGCCTCTGTAGATTGGTGACCTGTCTCCTTCGAGGCCTGGGCCGGCCGCGACCTCCCAACATGGCGCCAGTTGAACGCTGCCATGGCTCATAACCCCTCCCAATGGAGGGAGTTTCCCTTTGCCCCTAAAATGGCAGCGCGGGTTTTTTCGCGGACAGAGGCGCTCTCGTTCGGGTCTCCCAGTTTCTGTTTTTGGAGTTGATAGCAGGGTTTTAAATATTGGACATTGAAGTCTTCATTTTCGTGTCTTTGGTGTAAGAGGCGTTTTGGATTTACTTACATAAGCCAAACCTGGTTAAAGTGCGTGTCACTTTAGTCATTCATTGTAGGGCTTTTGGAGGTTTTTCTTAATTTTTCCAGTGTGTCGGCTGAGAAAATTCAGTCGATTTGAAAAGCGTTTACCAGGCCGGCCGCGGTGGCTCACGCCTGTAATCGCAGCACTTTGGGAGGTAGAGGCAGGCGGATCACTTGAGGTCAGGAGTTCGAGACTAACCTCATCAACATAGTGAAACCCCGTCTCTATTAAAAATACAAAAATTAGCCGGGTGTGGTGGCAGGCGCCTGTGACCCCAGCTATTCGGGAGGTGAGGTAGGAGGATCGCTTGAACCCGGGAGGCGGAGCTTGCAGTGAGCCGAGATCGCGCCACTGCACTTCAGCCTGGGCAACTAGAGCGAAACTCCGTATCAAAAAAAAAAAAAAAAAGACAAATAAAAATGTTTACTCACCGAATCGTCTTGTTCTTTTCCTAGGCGTTTAGAGAAAATGGCAGACGATATTGATATTGAAGCAATGCTTGAGGCTCCTTACAAGAAGGTAAGAAAAAACATGTCGGTGAGGTTTATAATTTCTTAATTTAGCATTATTCACGAAACTACTGCTGAAATGTAAACTAACCTCCCCGGAACCCTCTTGATTTATCTTATCAGAGATGCATTACGTGTAACTTACAAAAGTAAATATATGCTATTGATGTAATAACATTGTGCAGTAGTTTCACTTCAGCGTGATGAATAAATGCCCATCTCTCTCTCTTTGTAGACTTGCCTAACGATATCTCACCTCTACTCCCATGAATTCACCTTTGATTCCAGTGTGAACTGTCAATCATAAGGTAGTAATTGAGTGACTTATCGCTGTACCGTGGTCCCCTAGGTAAAATGACTCAACTAAGAATTACCAGCTCCAGTTTGGTATAGCAAAAAGGTGAATGTAGTGGTTTGGGAAAAAGCAGGGGTCCAAGAATAAAAAAGCATAACCAGTCTATGGCAAGTTAAATCTTCTAATAGTCTTATGAGAAGAAATGGGTGAGATTTTAAAATTTATATATCTATGTAAGACTGGTGATAGTAAATCTTAAACAGTCCAGTGGCAATCTGCTACTCAGTTAATAATTACTAAAATTCTTGGATCCCTGAATAGAAATTAAAAAAAAAAAAAAAAATACAAGAGGCAGTATCACAGCTTAGAGTCACTTGATAACTGTTTTACTGTTCTCCATTTTGTTTTATTTTTAATTAGGCCCTGCCATATAGTATTTCACACTAAAAACAAAGGAATTATTTTGGCTAATATAGTCTTTGACTCATTTCGGTATCGCAGTAAAAGTAAACTGTCTTTTCATTGTTTCACCAGTTGGTGGTGAAAATAGCAGTATGCATGCATTATCACTGGTGTCACAAACTGTAAGCTTTGTAAGTTAGCACTTTACTCCTATAGCTGATGTAATCAAACTTTAAAATAAACATTTTGCTAAACCTTTTAAAAATAATACATTTGTTTTGGATTGTATAGCACGACCATGTGGTACCAATTTGGATGAATTCTTGATAGATTTAAATAGTGTATGTAATTTTGTAATGCTTAGACTCTTGAAGAGCTACTTTCTGTTTTAATGTTAAGATTCTTGTATCTTAGTTTTTTTTAACATGGATGTAATTCCATGTAAACAGGTATGGAAGTAGGAAATGTTTAGGCTGGACTTGGTGGATTATTAATTGACTTTCTTGGGTTCTTGGGAGTCAACATTACTAAAGCAGTGTGAATCCCTGTTTGCTTCAGGGCGAGATGTGTGACAGAGGTGGCATCAAGCTTTTACAGTCCCAACCCTCCAACGGAAATGGACGAAGATCTCAGGAATGGCATCGGTCACAGGAAATCGATAGTGGCTGGCTGCTAGCATGGCCATTTGGGGCTTAGGCAGAAATAGAGCCATGGTACTGACCAAAGGGACCATAGCACATAGAATAAAACTCAAAACAGGACTTCATGTTTTATGGAAATTGTATTTAACCACTTCAACATTGTAAATCTGGATAACTTAATATCTAAAGTATATAAGAAAGTAAAATTTAACATGTTAATATGGAAATATTTTTTTATTTTTGTATCTTGATGACTTAAATGTAAGCAACAAAGTGGTTAAACACATACCCATCTAAATTTTTTTATAGCCTTCCATGTTAAACTTTAAATGAATAATTAGTTTTAAAATTGTTTTGTATTTTCTTATTCCTGTTCCCTTTACCCTTTGACAACTTGAAATGTTACCACTTCGTCCTCATGATGTTCTTCTATCAACCCTGCTTAGGATGAGAACAAGTTGAGCAGTGCCAACGGCCATGAAGAACGTAGCAAAAAGTAAGTTTTAAGAAGGGGCCTGGGGGAGGGTGGTGAACTTTTTTGTGGTTTTAGACCTTAAGTTGTGTTCCTGTGGCTGAAGTATACAACGTTCTCTTCGGAAACTTTTTTTTGCTGCTTTTAGAGAATTGGTTCTTTGTCTTTTGGGATAAACTCTTGGAGGAACTGTGGATTTTTGCTTAGATTTCAGAATATAGTTTCAGATGCCTTCCCCTCCAAGTCCATCATGACAATCTGGTGACAAGTTCTGTAGTAGAGGTTGTCTTGTTTTAAATTTGTTAACTTTGGTTTAATATTTGGTTATCTTACTGATAAAACTATTATATCCATTGATCTTAAAAGGGAGAGTTAAATTAGGTGATAACTAGGCCATGGAAAGTATTGTTTGCCCTAAATTGCCAAAGGAGTCAAAGCTGTGAATTATTTCTGCACCTTGCTGCTCAAAGGCCCTTTTGGAAGTGATGCAACAGAATACTTAAGTACTTCTTAAGGTGGCTTTTATTATCTTAGGCCTTTCAAACTCCAGACTTAGCAGGGTGGGGTTTTTGGAAATTATGAATATATCTGTATACTTTATTTGGATAAGATGAGTGACTCTGTAGAACTCTACTATAGTACAGAAAACAGTGTACGAAAAGTCTTAAGTAACAGACATGACGAGATCCACTTTTTTTTTTTTCTTTTGAGACGGAGTCTTGCTCTGTAGCCCAGGCTGGAGTACAGTGGCACAATTTGGGCTCACTGCAACCTCCGCCTCCTGGGTTCAAGTGATTCTTTGAATTTTTTTTTTTTTCTTTTGAGATGGAGTCTCTCAGTGTCACGCATGCTGGAGTGCAGTGGTGTGATCTCTGCTCACTGCTGCCACTGCCCCCCCCCGGATTCAAGCGATTCCCCTGCCTCAGCCTCTCATTAGCTGGGACTACTGGTGCATGCCATCACGCCTGGCTAAATTTTTTTGTATTTTTAGTAGATCTGGGGTTTCACCATGTTAGCCAGCGTGGTCTCGATCTCCTGACCTCATGATCCTCCCTCTGTAGCCTCCCAAAGTGTTGGGATTACACGCGTGAGCCACTGCGCTCGGCCTTTTTTTTTTTTTTTTTTTTCCGCGATCTCAGCTCACTGCAAGCTTTGCCTCCCAGGTTCATGCCATTCTCCTACCTCAGCCTCCCGAGTAGCTGGGACTACAGGCGCCCACCACCACGCCTGGCTAATTTTTTTGTATTTTTAGTAGAGACTGAGTTTCACTATGTTAGCCAGGATGGTCTCAATCTCCTGATCTCTTGATCCGCCCACTTCGGCCTCCCAAAGTGCTGGAATTATAGACGTGAGCCTTTTTTTTTTTTAAAAAAAAGACATAATCTCGCTCTATTGCCCGGGCTGGTGTGCAGTGGGGCAATCTCGACTCATCACAATCTCCGCCCCCACCTGGGTTTAAAAGGTTCTTCTGCCTCAGCTTCCCAAGTAGCTGGGACTATAGGCGTGCACCACCATGCCTGGCTGAGTTTTGTATTTTTAGTAGAGACGGGGTTTCACTCTGTTGGCCAGGCTGGTCTCGAACTCTTGACCTCATGATCCGCCTGCCTTGACCTCCCAAAGTGCTGGGATTACAAGGGTGAGCCATTGCACCTGGCGCCAAGGGATTCTTCTGCCTCAGCCTCCCAAGTAGCTGGGAATACAGGCACGCGCCACCATGCCTGGCTGATTTTTGTATTTTCAGTAAGAACGGGGTTTCACCATATTGCCCAGGCTGGTCTTGAACTTCTGACTTGGTTACCTGCCTGCCTCGGCTTCCCAGCATGCTGGGGTTACAGGTGTGAGCCACCCGTGCCCGGCCAAGAGATCCACTTTATAAGGTTGGGTTTTATCAGTTTTTGAAGTTTCCTTTTAGCTCTGAGGTTAGTGATTCTAAATATGTGGTCATGTTGCAAACATTAAATTGTTTTATTAGTCTATGGTGCCATTTTAAAACATTTTATCCGCCAAGCTGTGGTGGCTCATGGCTGTAATCCCAGCATGCTGGGATGCCGAGGCAGGCAGATCACTTGAGGCCAGGAGTTTGAGACCAGCCTGGCCAACGTGGTGAGACCCTCTCTCTCCTGAAAATACAAAAAGTAGCTAAATTGTGGAGGCTCGTGCCTGTAGTCCTGGCTCCCCAGGAGGCTGTGGCAGGATAATTGCTTGAACCCGAGAGGCAGAGGTTGCAATGAGCCAAGGTTGCACCACTGCACTCCAGCCTAGACCACAGAGTGAGACTCTGTTTTTTTTTTTTTTTTTGAGACAGAGTCTTGCTCTGTCTCCCAGGCTGGAGTGCAGTGGCGCAGTGTCAGCTCACTGCAAGCTCCGCCTCCCGGGTTCACGCCATTCTCCTGCCTCAGCCTCCCCAGTAACTGGGACTACAGGGGCCTGCTACCATGCCCGGCTAATTTTTTTTGTATTTTTTTAATAGAGACGGGATTTCACCGTGTTAGCCAGAATGGTCTTGATCTCCTGACCTCGTGATCCGCCCGCCTCAGCCTCCCCAGCCGCTGGGATTACAGGTGCCTGCCACCGTACCTGGCTAATTTTTGTAGTTTTAGTGGAGATGGGGTTTCACCATCCTGGCCAGGCTGGTCTTCAACTCCTGACCTCGTGATCCACCCTCCTCGGCCTGCCAAAGTGCTGGGATCACAGACATGAGCCACCATGCCCAGCCAAGTTTTGTATTTTTAGTAGAGACAGGGTTTCACCATATTGGCTAGGCTGGTCTTGAACTCCTGACCTCAGTTGATCTACCTGCCTCGGCCTCCCAGAGTGCTGGAATTACAGGCGTGAGCCACGGATCCAACTGAGACTCCGTCTTAACTCTGGGCTGGGCGCGATGGCTCACACATGTAATCCCAGCACTTTAGGAGGCCGAGGCGGGCGGATCACAACGTCAAGAGATCGAGACCATCCTGGCCAACATGGCGAAACCCCGTCTTTACTAAGAGACTGCCTGTGGGATCGTACTTGGCTGTCCTCCACGTAGAAGCACCTAGACCCAGCACTTTGGAATGCTGAGGCAAGATCACCTGAGGTCAGGAATTCGAGACCAGCCTGACCAAAATGGTGAAACCCTGTCTTACTAAAAATACAAAAATTAGCTGAGCATTGTGGTGCACACTTGTAGTCCCAGCTACTTGGGAGGCTGAGGCAGGAGAGTCATTTGAACCTGGAAAGTGGAGGTTGCAGTGAGCCGAGATCGTGCCATTGCACTCCAGCCTGGAGACAGAGCGAGACTCCGTCTCAAACATAAAAATCTGTCATACTTATGACCTTACATAAATGAAAAATGAGAGAAAAATAGCCACTTGATTTCTTTTTGGCTCTTTTCCTCCTAAAATCCCTAAATGCTTCATAGTAAATGCCTCAGTCGTTCTCACTACATTGTGTTAGGTAGGTTGATAAAATTTCATAAAATAGATGAGAAAGTTTTATATAACTTTATTCAGTGCTTGCTAAGCCAATGTTTTTTTGTAGTTCCCCTAAAATAATGTGGTAATAGGTTAAAAATGATGTAATTTGTAGAAGACGTCCTCCTCTTTTCTGGTGTAAGCTTGGATGGGAGTCATTTATAGTTCTTCACCAAACACAAGAAATTGTGGGGATCACATTGGGTTTAGTCTTGATGTGGTCTGAGGCAACCAACCAGAGGCATGGTTTATGTCGTCTGGTTTTAGACCTTCTGCCACAGTAATGGTTTTCTAATGTTTCTATTTTGCAATTCTCTAATCAAAAGAAAACCCAGGAAGATGTATCCATATAAATTGACATAAATTATCCAATCTAGGTGTCAGGCCTAGTGGCTGAAGATATCACTTCAAATGCCAGAAGGATAAAAACATAGACTTTTGGGTACAGACCTTCGTTATTGTACCATTGTCTCGTGTCACCCTTTGCCACTAAGGTCACTTCTGGTTTCTTCTTGTTTTTATTCTGTATATGAGTTGATTAAGGCTACAAGCTTTTATAAGGAAGCTGAGCATCAGGTTCTCCATGTGTGATATTCGGTGGCCTTTATCTAATGTGGAGTCCCACAGGACTAAATAGAAGAATGGACAATTTCTTTAACCGTGAGATTGTCTAAGGGAAGATCCTTTCAAAACACTTTGGTTATCTTAAAATACTTTCCTGTATCCACATAAAATTGGACATAAATTATCCAATCTAGGTGTCAGGCCTAGTGGCTGAAGATATCACTTCAAATGCCAGAAGGATAAAAACATAGACTTTTGGGTACAGACCTTCGTTATTGTACCATTGTCTCGTGTCACCCTTTGCTACCAAGGTCACTTCTGGTTTCTTCTGTTTTTATTCTTGTATATGAGCTACTTAAGGCTACAAGCTTTATAAGGAAGCTGAGTGCATCAGGTTCTCCATGTGTGATATCTCGGTGGCCTTTATCTAATGTGGAGTCCCACAGGACTGTTAGAAGAATGGACAACTCTCTTTTAACCGTGAGATTGTCTAAGTGGGAAGATCCTTTCAAAACACTCTTTTGGTTATCTAAATACTTTCCAGTCAGACTTCGTCAGTTATAGTTGATAAGTAAATGGCCCCTTGTTCAATCAGGACTCTTAATTTCTGAAGGAACGTTATGTTTCAAATTAATTTTAAAGTTACCTGGAAGAAAATTTTTGTATTTAAATATAGATATAAAACATTGTGTCTTTGCTTTAACCTTTAACTAAATTAAATTTCTTAACCAAAGGAAAGTGCCACGTTGCATTTTTCATTCTAAAACTTCATTGTCTTAAGCCACATTGAGGTATAGTTTGTTAGGTAGTAGAAAAATGGCGTGTACTGAGAAACAGTTGACTGAGTATACATTTTTTTTTAATTGTGTAATTTTGATTCTCAACATACGCTTCGTTGTATCCTAGAATAGGAATAAAGTTTATTGTGACACAAACTGGTTGTCAACCTATTTTTTGAAGAGCTATGAACCTGAGTTTTTGCATACGTCAAGGTATGCATCTTAAGTGCGTGAGCTTGCTCTCATGGGAATATTATTTGTTAGAGTAACCAGTTTTGCAAACTCTAAATCAGTGTCCATTCCGTTAAGCTCTTTAGAGAATTACTCAATAAAATTTAACATTGAAGTGACACAGTGGAAATATATTGGCTACTGTGGTGTGGATTATCTATAAAGTTTGGAATAAATGACTTCTATTTTTTTTTTTTTTTCCAGAATACTTTGCATTTAAAATTTAGATCTTCTTACATGGAAGAGGTCAAATCCAGTTATAGCAAAACACCTTTACTGCAGAGGCCATATAACCAAAAAGTCCAAAGGCCCAGCCCAGTGGACCATTTACTTCAATGATGTTCAGTACAAAATTTCACTGCCATTAAAGACTTTGGAAAGTCCCTTTTAAGTTGTAACAGGATTTGACTATTAGTGTGGATTTCGATAACCCTTCTTTAGTTCATGTAATAAATGCCCTTTGAAACTGGAAGTATACTGATTTCTTGCACCCATATAGCTTTCTCTGGGCTTTTATGCAAAAGATTGTATTTTCTGAATGTCTTAATATGTTGCTGTCTTTTTACCTGCCTGGGGTTGCCTTCAGATGTGGTTGGGGACTTGTTTATACAAAAAGTCCTAGAAGACCTTAAGTTAAAATTAGCTCTCCAATTTTCAAGTATTTTCTTTTGGCAGAATAAGTTTTGGGTCCTATGAGAGGTAAATAGGTTGGTTGCCTCTCTTGCTATAGCCCATCTATGAGCAGAACAAAAACTTTGTTTTTTAGGGGGATGGAGTTACTTTTTACCTTGTTCCCTAATGGATTATATTTAGGACTTCAGGTTTTAGAAATCTCACAGAATTCTATAATTAGAATAGTGTCACAGAGATAGTGTTAGGTTTTTCAGGCAACAAAATTGGAGTGTTACCTGTTGCCCATCTGGGCGTGGCTTTGATGAGTTCTATATAAATAATGAGTGTAGCCTAATTTTCTGTCATGTGCTACCTAGCATATACATTTCTGACAGTCAGGTGGATTATCTTGAAATTTTAGACAAACTTTCTGCCTCCTTGGAAAGCTCTACATCTCCTTGTGATTGGAGTGTGGGTTTCAAGATTCCAGAAGGTGGGTGTCTTCATTTTCTATTTTCAATGCACTCTAAAGATGACCTGCTTACAGGTTCTCTGAGGCAGACCTCAGTTGCTCTTATGATACGTAACTTTGCTTTGAAAAGGAGTAAACAATTACATATCCAAATACAGAATTGTCAAAATGTTTAATCATTAAGCCACTACAAATTGACATTTTAGTGAAATAAATTGATTTTGAAATGTTTTTCAGTTTATATTGAAATATCTGAAGGCACCTCTAAAATTTGGGTGATGACACAGGTATAGATTAAAAGATTTAATTATGAATGGGTAGTATACTGTAAAGACTACAGAAGTGAACAGAAAGATATGACTGGTTTTTTTGGTTTTTAGTTTGAGATTTTAAAAAGATCTGTGAAGGTCAAGTTGATCATTGGTTTTGATTGCATCCCACAGGCTTCTATAAACTAGCTTAAAAATGGCATACTCCATTTTCTGGTATATTCTTTGTAACTTCAGGAAGTATTGAAATGGTCATATTCAAGTCTAGGAATGTCAAAATGTATTTTAATGCATTAGTTCTTTTTCTTTTTGTTTTTGGAGACAGTTTTGCTCTGTTGCCCAGGCTGGAGTACAGTGGTATGATACCGGTTTGCTCCAACCTCTGCCTCCCAGGTTCAAGCAATTCTCCTGCCTCAGCCTACGCAGTAGCTGGGACTACAGGCCTGTGCCACCACGACCCGCTACTTTTTGCATTTTTTTAGTAGAGATGGGATTTCACCATGTTGACCAGGCTGGTCTTGAACTCCTGACCTCAGGTGATCCCTACCTCAACCTCCCAAAGTGCTGAGATTACAGGTGTGAGCCACTGCACTTGGGTTTTTTTTGTTTTTTTGTTTTTTCAAATGGAGTTTTGCTCTTTTTTGCCCAGGCTGGAGTGCAATGGCGTGGTCTCAGCTCACTGCAACTTCCATCTCCTGGGTTCAAGCGGTTCTCCTGCCTCAGCCTCCCAAGTAGCTGCGATTACCAGCATGTACCACCAGGCCTGGCTAATTTTTATATTTTTGGTTGAGAGGGGATTTCACCATGTTGACTGGGCTGGTCTCAAACTCCTGACCTCAAGTGATCTGTCCGCCTTGGCCTTATACCCAGTCTGGAGACACATGCACCTAAGCTGAAACCAAGCTGAAAAGCAAAAGCAAATAGTCATCCCATGTATACATGCACATATCAGAAGCTGGATTAGTGAAACTTAAGGTAATCCCACCAGGAAGGCTGAGTTGAAGTGGAAGGATTGCCCAGAGGCCAAGAGTTGGAGTTGAGTTGGGAAAAAATGACCAGTTTTGGTGGTGGCTTCAGCAACCTTTCTCAGAGAGTGCCAACTACTCCAGGAAGCCAAGTGAGCATGATTCCTAAAGGCTGCAATAAACTGCTATCCCACTGCTGCAATCCAGCCACACGGTGTGAGTGACACCTCATATAAAAATAGTTTATATAAACTCTCATTAATAATCCAAGTGAAAAAAATTGAGGAGTTGTGGCGTCAAAGTGTTCTTTGTGTGGCATCTTGGTGAAATCAGGAAGCCGGGAGCAGGAAATGAGCTGAGGTGCCATGTGTGCTGATTGAGTTTAGCTCCAGGGCTGTGAGGGCCATGGAGACCGCCTTACACGTGAGTTGAATCATGATCTAGTTGACCTACTGACCTGGCTAGCCTAGCAGGGCAGCCCAGAGAGGACAGGCGGAGGAAAGAGAGTAGTTAAGAAGAAAGCCATCAGATTAATCCAAGGAGGAGAGAGAGGAGGAGCCCTGCTGAGGCTTTGGGGTGAGGATGGGGGTGAGAGGCAAGGTTTAGGTGCTGCTTGGAGGTACAAGCAGCATGGTGGAGGTACAGATGCACTTCATACACCAAGTCAGAGTCTTACACTAGGAGGGAACAAATTGAGATGTAAATGTGAGAAGGAATCAGCAAGAACTTGTGCCTCCCTACATGTGTGTGGGTGAGGAGGACTTTGAGAGATATTTCTGACTCATGCTGTGGGAAAGAAGATTAGCTGTATTTGCCTTGTGCCCCAGAGACAGCTATCTAGAAGGGAGCAGAGGTGTGGAAGAGAATTGCAGAGTAACCTGGCACCACCCAGTGAGTGTGAGGTGCCTGTGGGTTGTCAGGAAAGGGAGATCAGAGTGGTTTTGCCACATGGTTCACAGAAGCTTCCATTTAAGGCCCAGTAGCCAGGGGAGCTGATCTGGCAGGCGGATGTGACAGCCTTGCGGGCTGCACAGTGATGAGAAAGGAAGGGCGGGGCTGCCTCATCAGGGGAACTGTGGTAGGCTTCCACAACTTGTGACTTTGAAGCTCTACAAAGTCAAGCTCTAAGTGAAACCTTTAACATTAGAAAAGAGCAAATGGCAACAAAGCCAAAACATAACAGTCACTAAATAATTATGTTTCTAAAGTAAAATTAGAAAATGATATTAAACCTCTCATTTCTACAGTGAAATGTTCCATGAAGTTGGATGTGTTTTAATATATTTATTACATCAAAGTGTGATGTAGGTGAGCCCCTCCAAGACCATCGCTCTAAAGTCCCTCTACAGGAAGTGCAAGGTGTGGAAATTATCTTCTCGCTGTGAGCCCCATGCCCCACTCTGGCATTTCCTCCATCCTGCAAGCATCCCCTCCCCCTTGCAGGCATCCATGTGATGCTGCATGCAGTGTTGTGGGTTTACAGCACACTTTGAAGTCATTCCCACAAGATCTCAGGTCTAGTGGATGTCATGGGATTGTTCTCTCCAGTTCCCACAAGATCTGGTCCTAATGAGCCTCATGCAAGCCGCCTTCTCCCTCAGGGTGTCTCTGTGGCTCTCCGTGCTGCTTGGTCTAGTCCATGCGCGGTTCCCAGTATCTGGTTCTGCTGAACCTCATCACAAGAGTCACACCCTTCCAGGTGTCCCCCTGCGGCCTCCATGCTGCTCTGTCTGATCAGGAGCACTCTGGGTGCCCTTGTGCCTGCCTGCCTGCTCCTGGGTCTTCTGCGGCTCTGGCAGTGGCATCACCCTGTCTCCTGGCCGATGTCACCAATGCTTACCCTGCTGGGTAGATCTCGGTGTTGTCACCCATTCCTCATCCACCCACCCTGCCTCCCTCCCTCTCAGGATCTTATTTCACACCCCACCTCCTTCCATCACTCAACTCACCTGCCTGTGCTTCTCAGCACCTGCCTGAGGTCACTGGAACCGCCTCTGGACACCGCACTTACAAAGGACTCACAGCCAGGTGGCAGGCCAGGAGGTAGTGGACATACAATTGAATCTCATCTTGGCCAATCATTCCCTAAAAAAGAGATTTTGTAAGGTGTCAGGAAACCTCTCCCATAAAAGCAGATGTCCTGAATCAAATGTGTGTATCTCAGAGTAGGAGTAGCTCTCCATTGTAAATGCGTGGTGACAGGAGTTTTATAGTAAGTTATAAACTACACATAAAACTCACCATCTTAGGCATTCTTAAGTGTATAGTACAGTAGGGCTAAGTATATTCACATTGTGTGAAACCAGTCCTCAGAATGTTTTCTTTCACACACATTAAACAACTCTCCATTTCCCGTCCCTCAATCCCTGGCAGCCACCATTTTGCCTTTTGTTACCATGAATGACTACTTCTAGATACTTGTACCAATACTGTTTACACTTTAAAGAACCAAAGTGTACTGGTGAGAAATTAAAGCCACCCCTAGATTTAGCCAGTGCCTAAACACTGACTTTAAAGCCTGTATATCTTTTCCCCACCATGTGTTCCTTCATTCATTCAGGACACAGCCAGTGTTATTCAGGATGCGTTTGGGTCTGGAGACAGTGTTCAATGTGTTTTACTATTGACTGGATTTTCTATTTTATTAGTTTATTACAGGTTTATTAATTTTGAAATTGTGCTTATTGCTACAAATATCTTTTCTCATGTGGCTTGCCTTTTTAGTCTCAATGCTCTGTTTTGGGACCAAGAATTTAAATGCGGTCCTAATGTGTATTAGTCTTTCCTTTATGGTTATTGTTTTGTAAATGCCATTATATTCTTTTCTTGATTTGATGTCTGAGATAAATTTCTGTGTTACCTTCTGATCACTGCCATTAAATAAATTATAGTGAGACACATACTATCTAGACTAAATATTATCTAGTATCCATATTGAGAGAAAAGAGATCCAATAAAGCTAGATTCCAATAATGTTTGATTTAACTCAAGTATATACAAAATTACCATAATTTCAAACTTTCAATGCTCAAAAATTACTGGATATTTAACGTGGTTTCTACTGTTTAATTTCCAATACAAGTGTTCGCTTATTGGCACATCTCAAGTATTCAGTAACCATGCATGGGCAGAGCAGTTGTAGAATATTTATTGC